AATTTCGTTAGGTTAAAAAATTCGTCCATCTATTCGTAGCTTAACGAAATCGAAAAAGAGAAGATTTTGGCATACATGGAAACCAAAAACACCGTTCAAATTCTTGGACGTGACCCACGCCGATATGTCGCTTTATTAACAATATAAACGAACAGGAAAAAGTTATAAACTACGTTCAGGAAGACCACCAGTTTTAACCACCTTGAAAAAAAGGATTGGCTTATACGTGAAGCAAATGAAAAAGACGTGTACCACTACGCGAAATAGTCAACAATTTAAACATCACTTGTAGTTTATCAACTGCCGCAAATATATTACACAACTCCGGACTTAACTCACGTATCGCAGCAAAGAAACCATATATCTCGGAAACACGTGCATACGCTCATATTAAATGTTGCGAAGAAAATAAAAATAAACCAGTTTATGGTTAGCAAACATAATTATTGAAATTAGAAAGCAGTCACGGCAACCAGGAGTTTGGTGACATCCTGAAGAAAAGTTTAATGTTGATTGCTTGACTCCTACCTTTAAAAATTAAAATCTGTGATAATTTGGGGATTTTTCGCGGGAAAATTAAAAGGACAATTGATGAATATAAAAAAATACTAAAAACTCAATTATTTCCATTCCAGAACGCAATTAAGGAATTAACTGGAAGTTACATGACAACGCGCCAATTCATACTGCAAGCAAAATTAAGGAATGGTTAATGGAAAATAAAAGCACGATCATTTAATTTGCTGGCAAATTCTCCAGACCTGAGCCCAATAGAGAAGATATCAAAAGATGATATTTAAAGAATGAGATCTTTCCGAAGGCTAGATGAACTTAAGGTTGCATTGAAGATGGATGGGAAAATTGATGTGGCCATTTTAGAACGGGTTATTGCATCAATGGCATGAAGGATTAATGCTGGTATTGGAATCGTATGGCGGGCCGATTAAATATTAAATAATTTGATGTATAAATTGACGAAAATCAAATAATAAATGAATAAATATCACATTTTTAATTTTTGCATCAGTGATACTTTTGGGGCACTATACATGTACATGTAAAAGGTCTTGACGATTAACATTCTTAAGGAAATATAGTGACAGAGACAGACCGAAAAATGAACTGATAAAACAGACAACTAATAAACTAAATGATAAACGAATAAATACAGTAAATACAATAAAAACACACATTTTGAAAAAGATTATACTCAAAAGATGTTAGTAAATTTGTCTAAATGTGTCCGACATGGTTTTAATTATAAAGTATATACGGAAGAGTGATTATAAAGAGAATTTGTCTTTCATTGTTCGAATTTCTAACATTACAGTGGTCATCATAAAGATCCGGAATTCAAATTTACAGATAAAAATTTTAATTTTATTATCTCTGTGCTTAAACTTTCATATATACATTACCAGATATGGTTACTAACTAATACAAAATTTAATAATCTATTTTTTCCCTCCCACTCAATAACCTCCAAACCGCGATTTTACATGCTCCTCGCCAAAAGAAAGAGTCCTCATACTTTGAAAGTTTTTTTAATTAACCATAATAAATTTATTTATTTTCCACTTTTCATCGCCCATAGATTTTCGGTGGCTATATATCCAGTAAGACAGAATTCGAACGTCGTCGCATTCAAAAAGATCGGTTATTTCACTTGTTTTGTGGATTAGAGAGTTGTCCTGTTGAAAACGAAACATACGTTCGGCCCCGGAAACATAAGGAATTTTAGAGTAGTTTAAAATTGGTAGAGCCACGCGACGTTTTGTGCACCGAATCAAAATGCCGGATCTTTATGACGACCACAGAATGTTTAAAGATGTTATCGGTTCCGGAACCTATTAGAGAAAGTGGATTCGGGACTAATTTTTGTCAATTAGTTTAAAACCGGTTCTGCATTTACAAAATGTGCTGTATAAAGGCTTTAGCCAACCCACATGTAAGCATCACTTTATTAACACATTATGACAAAGCACACACATTATTTCAAGTAGCTAGATTGAGCCAAGTGATGAGAATAAAATAAAATATTGAACATGTTTGGAAATTTGCTAAATGGATTTATGGGCGTTATATAAAGTCTAGATATTACCAATCTAACTGCTTGAAATAACTCGTGTCCTTTTCCATAATGCGTTCTTAACTATGATGCGTCGCGTGTGTGCTAGCTTGTGACGAAAAGTTAAATCTAATAAATAGGATCTTGGAAACTAGTGAAATAAGATATTGTATGTTTCGCATGTGGATTGTCTGCAATAACAGGAAGTCAATTAACGAATAGGATATTGAATCTGGCCCGGTAACAAAAAGTAAGTTATTAATAAGTCGACGCACATGCAAAAACATCATAGTTAATAACATATTATGGAAAAACACACACATTATTTCAAGCAATTAAATTGGAGAGAAGCTAGCGAAATAGGATGTCGAACACATATGAAAGTTTGTTAAAATGAGATTTCAAATAAAACAATGTTATGAGAAAATAAAGATGAAGTTCACGAAGGTTAGTCCCAATTTAAGTACTTGAAATAATGCGCGTGTTTCAAGATAATGTGTTATTAACAATAATGATTTTTTGCGTGTGTGTCGGCTATTCTAGCCTAATGATGAGAAGTGAAAAGGATATCGAACAAAAGCCTCGTTTATATGGGAAAGAGGATTGAATGAAGAAACAAATACATGTAAGAGTATAAATAAACATTTGAGGAAATTCGTAGTACATGCTTCAATAGGGATAAATTTTCTCAGGTCTGACTCGGATCTTGTCTCTAACTCGGGGTCGCTTTATCAAATCATATCCATTTATCTTCACATGTTAGTTAATCTTTTACCAGTTTTGGTGTAATACACTTGCCATTTTTAAACACGTAATACATGCACATTATGTACACGAAGTCAGTTTTTTTTGAAAACTGCGCACTATTGAGATCACACCCCAAATTATTTGGACCAATTAATTTAATTATGTGAGATTTAAATTGATGAAAGATTATTTGTTTGACAAGGAGAAATGTTAGGATTTGAACAATAAACATTTCATCCAGCCAAACAGTTCCTGGCAAACGAAATTTTTTTTAATCTTATTTACTCTGTAAATAATAATTTTGATAAAACATTCCTTCTATAGATCTGGAAAAAACGAGTTTTATTAGAAGTTTACCTGATTTTTTTCTGGATTTTTTACTTTTAATTATCACAAGATTCAGCAATCAAAATGATTCTTTAGGTCAAAAGCATCAAGCTTCTTAATTCCAGAGATATTAGTGTTCAAATTTGAATATCTGTTTTTGAAATACAATCAAACTCCTCTGAATACATACTATCGGAACCACTATATACAGTAGTATGCATTTAGAGAGTAAAATCAACTTTTTTTTTGAAATATCATCCAATCCAACACTTCAAAATTTAATCTTTTAATTTATTATGATTAGAGAATTCTTATTCTTGTAAAAGAATAACAATAATAAAGATATATATTTCTGTTTACATATATTAAATCTTGAATTTTATAAATTTAAAGTAATAATATTATATTTTAATTAATATTAGTTAGTTATAAATTAATAATTTTTTAATTTAAAAATTTCCAAAAATATATTAAATGCTCTTATATTATTTATAAACTTATTATTAAAATTATGTTTATAAATAATAAAAATATTTTAAATTATCAATATTAATTATATTTAATATATATATATAATTTTAAAAAATTAATTATATTAAGAATATTTTTCATATGAAAAAGATAAACTATTATTTATACTTATTATTTAATTATAAATATATAATTTTCATTTATAAATTTACTAATTTATATAAAAAGCTTTAATATAAAAGTACTTATATATAATTTTGTATTAAAAAAATTAATAAATATTTATTGACTAGTATTTTTAATACAAGTTATAATAAATTATAGTATAATTTCAGATTTTACTTGAAAAATTTTTGCAAATTTATTACAATTTAAACTTAAAATAAGATAGATAATATAAGAAAATTCTTGTATAATACTATAAGTTAATTAAAGAATAATATATAGTATATTAAAAAGAATAAATTTTTAAAATTAATTTAATTAATTATTTTCAATATAAAATTTTTTATAAAAATTCTAAACTTTTATTTATTTACTAAAATAATAATTATATAAAGATTTTTTTATTTTTTTAAATAAATAAGTAATTTTATTAAAATTTTTTTTATTTAAAGAACTTTTAATAATTCTTTTCTTTTTAAAACAAACTTTCTTATTAGTCTTAGTCTTATTATTATTATTATTCTTCTTCTTCTTTTTTTTTATTATTATTATTATTTATTATTTATTATTATAATTAATTAAGTCTCTTCAAAATATTATAAATATAGCTTTTTATTATTATAAAATTCATTGTCATTATATTTCACTCCAATGATTTGTTAATTTCATTTCTTTAATATTGATTATTATAAAAAAAAATAATATAAAAGTAAAATAATTTTTTGATTGTTTATAAATTTTACTTTTAACCAATATTAATATTAGTTATTGCAATATAAGAAAAAATATAATTGAAATATTATTCAAATTATTTGCAAATTTAGTTTAATTATAATATTAAATTTAGAATTCCCCTATTTTCACCATGAATATTTGCTATATTCACTGTGGATTATATAGGATATTTACGATCATAATGGGATTTGCTATTTTGATTTGTGTGGCCTTTTGGAACTTTATGATTTCGAGACTCGGTTGCGAGATTTAAACATAGAACCACCATTAGATCCATCAAAAATTAAAGAATCGAATGGTGGTCTTTATGCTCAAATTTTACCACCGGGTCTCGAGATATTAGACACAAAGAAGCCTTGAGTACATAAAAACAAGTAAAATTTCGCTTACGGAATCTTTGAAGCTCAATATATCGTTAGCCAGAGGTAGGAATCGAATGCAAAGCACACTATTTAATTCATCAGAACTAGGGAATCGAATAGAATGTCTACATTCGATTCCTGCCACTGGCTAAAAATATATTGAGTATTGAAGCCCATACGTGGAATTTTGACTTATTTTTGTACAATTGTGCACAGTCTATTTGGAGCTCAATATCTTGGCGTTTCAGTGGCGGGAATCGAATGTAAGGCATATAATTTGATTCACGCGACTGCGTCTCGAGATATTGAACCCCAAGAGGCCCGTGCGTTAAATTGTTCACCAAAAATAAATCGAAATTCCCATGTACGGCTTTTTGGCTTAATATCTCGAGTTGCAGTGACGGCATTCGAGCATAAAGCCACCATTCGATTCCTTAGATTCTGATGAATCGAATGGAGAGCTTAGCAATTTCGCCACTGGTCTCGAGATATTAAGCCCCAAAGAGACTCTACATGAAATTACTTATACATGTAGAAATAGAAAATCACCATTATGATCAAAAGTTTTCTATCACGTAACACCCGAATTAATCCTTTTTTTATTTTTACATTTCCATTAAATATTTTGACACGTCATTAGTCCAGCTACAGCAAAGATCTCTTGGGGGTGAATATGTAAACATCAAATGATTTGTCGATAAAAATAATATTGAGTTAATCGGGTGTTAATGCCATCGAATTTTTAAGCGGTTCGCATCATTATTAAATAAAATACTGTTTAAAAATTTTTTTATTCAATGCGATTACAAAGGTTACACAGTGCATAACCTAATCTCGTTGTGAAAAAATTCTTAATAAATTTTTTTTTTATACATACATATTGAAAATTTTTTTAAAGTAATGACGTTTATATAACTCCACGCATAATTGAATAGTAAAAAAAATAAAAAAAATAATTTTTTGATTAATCATGTGCACATCTATGCTTGTTAGGATCTAATTACTGTGCCAATACAAATGCGCACGGAATTATCGTACAAAATTAAAATTCCATATTATTTCAAATAACGTATTAATTTTCAGAAAAAGCTTGGCGCATATCTTATATATTCCTTTATCACATAGACATCAAATAATAGGTGCAATGTAAATTTTAGGACGCATGCTATGGATTGTATCTTACTGACTTCTACATAGTCAGTCAAACAACCGCAAATTAAAACGC